CTTTTTCTCTCTGTCTCTCTCTGTATCTCTGGTGAGCATATGCACACTGTAGCAAAAATCTCTCCTAAAATAATAGTAATTAATAATAAAATTAAATAAATATTTTCAAAAATAAAAAAGACAGTGTCGAGAATGGAAGTCAGTAGTAGCTTCCTCCTCATGAGAAAGTTCTATCATGATAGTGACAAGAAGGCTGTGAAATGCTCAGAGGATCATGAAGGCAAAGTAGCATCTTAGAATGCCTAAGAATTTTATCCAACTCATGTCTTTGACTTAAAGTACAACTAAATGCAAAGCATTGATTATTGAATTTTTTTTTTTTTTGCCTTTTTGCCAGAGAATCAGAGAAGGAGAGGGACGAAGCACCTCGTAATGGGGTACAGACATGGCACAGTCCCTCTCTTCCATTTCTCGGTCTGTGGAGACCTGGGGCATGTAATATACTCACATGTGCTTGGTACAGCCCTCAAACTGCTGAGGATGGGACTCAGACTGTGCAGTCAGCCATGTGGGAGTCAGCTCCCTTAACCACCAGGACACAGAGCTAGCCCTGAAATAATAATTTAAAAAAAAAAAGGCAGAAACCTCCAGAGAAATATTTTTCACATCCTTTTTAGCAGGTCATTCTATTTCTTAAATATTACTAGATTTGTTTGATTATCTTGCCCAAATCTAGAGTGTTGTGTATTAATTATATATCTAAGAGCTTTGTCACTGGTTAGTCACTCACTTATTCACCATTTTTGAGCTTCCACTGATGAATAAATAAAGAAATAGTTATGATAAAATGTGGGAGTAAAAACAGAAGAGGTATATGTTTGAGATATTGCTGGTAATGAGAGATAGGGTAGCTGACACAATTTGGAGCAAGAAGAGTTGGTGAGGGAAGGCTTCCTTGGTTTTACTGGGAGAGATGACAGACTGATGAGAGGTAAGGCCACCTTCAGGGGCAGGGGCTTATCTCAGGGTATGGGCTGCTCTGATGACATCCAGTTACAGTAATTTTTCTGGACACAGAGCTAAAATGTGATTAAATTCAAAAGCTTATATACATATTAGAACGAAAAAGGAAAGTATGGATCGTTTGACAATTGAAATTCAAATAGGTTGGGGGCCGGCAGGTGGCACGGTGGTTAATGGCCAATTGCAGTTTGAGTCCTGGACTGGCGGCTTGCTTTCTTACTTTCCTTCTCTCTCTCTTGCTCACTCTGTCCCTCTCTGGCCAAATTAAAATAATTAAATAAATAAAGTTAAATAAAATAAAATGTACTTGTTTAAAAAAAATCAAATATGTTAGGTAACTTAAAGGGTTTTCCCCCGATTTTGTAGAACAACATCACTGTATGTCATTTAAAACTGTTATTCATTACTTCTGTTATAAGAGAATCATTTTTAATAATCGAAGGAATCTAGACCATATGAATTAATTTAAAAAAACCGAATCAAGTCACTTATAAATGCTGTTTTCCTTAAATATATATTCTGATCTAAGTTGTCAGGAGTCACTAAATTTTTATTATTTTGGATTATGTTGACATGGAATTAAGTTTCCATTAGAACTTGGTGCAATTTAAAAAAAATGAATAATAGTGTCAATGATAAATTAACAGAAAAATAATTGTACTAATTTAGAATAATTATTCTTCAATTTATTAAAGTTACATCCTTTAGGGCATGGATTCCAAACATAAAACTATTCTTTCGAATAATAAATCTACATTTGAAAAGAAATTTTTTTTCTCATACAGATTTTTGCAATAGGGTGCAAAAAGACTCTCTCTTCTCACCAAAGAGACAGAGAGAGACAGAGAGACAGAAGTTAGAAATCACCCTCTGAGGGGATAACCATGCTGCAATTCCATCTCTTCCTTCTCCACTGGGATCTTGGGCATGCACACACATGTGCCTGGCATGAGTTTGAAGCCACCAGGTCTGGGACTTGAATCGCAGCGGTACGCAGGAGTCCAGCGACATAACCATTTCACCATCTGCTGGTCCCTTTACAATATTTTTCATTTAAACTTTCAAATTCTTTAGGGCCAGCAGGTGACATATGGTGGTTGAGGAGCTGGACTCCCACATGGTTGATTGTGGTTTGAGTCCTGGACTTAGCAACTTGCTTTCTCTTTTTCTCTTTCTGGTAAGCATGTGTGCCCTATAGTAAATTAAAAGATAATAACGATGGGACCAGCAGATGGCATAATGGTTACGTCACTGGACTCCCACGTAGTCAGCTGCAGTTAGTTTGGGTCCTAGCCCTGGCTTAAAACATGCCAGGCATGTGGGCAAGCATGCCCATGATCCTGAGAGGAGAATGGAAGAGAAGGGATTGTGGTGTGGCCATCCCTCCCCCAGGGGGAGAGTTCTTGCTTTCTGTCTCTTGGTGAGCACATGTGCCCTACAGCAAAAATCTCTCAAAAAAAGATGATAATGATAAATTAAATATATAATTAAAAAAGAAAACTTAAAATTTTCTGCAAATCACATTTACCTTTCAACTTTTTATTACATTATTCTTTTATCTAGTGAATTATGTAAACTAAATGCTTTTGGTATTTGATGAAGAATAGATACTGTCTACAAGTAATGAGCCTCAAGATTTAGAAAACCGAAGTAAGGACTAGAGGCACACAGCTCCTCAGTGCAATTTCAGGGGGTGCTGTTCACGTAACTACAAATTGAATGATGACTAATACTTGGAATTGTGCAAAGCGGTTGCCCTGTGAGCTGGGATGAGGGTTGCAGGAAAGGATACTCAATAATTATTTAATTCAGTTTAATTCATTAGTTATTTCCCAAACTCTTTGGGGAAATTTGTTAAATGGGTATTCAACGATGTTTATTGGACCAAAAGTTTCTATAGTCTAGTAAGTGTGAGAAACCCTTGGATAAATATATTTCTTCTATGTAGAATCTCCCACAGTTTTTGAAATGCTAAGATGCCTTGTGAATCTATAAGTAGAGAGTATAATACACATTCATTCCTAAGTATATCCAACTGTGGACATAGTTGTGATCACTTCACAGTACTAATGTTCCAAGGTCATAACAGTCTGGGTGTTTTGTCATCATATGTGACCAGAATGATGGTCCGTTCCACAGATCTAAAAGGATAGGTACACAGTCTAGAATGGGAAACAATTTTAAGTAAGAAACAAGGGGGAAAGTACTCAAATTCTCTAGATCTATACAATGAAAATAAGTATTGGACTTTTATTTATTTATTTTTTTCAGTTTTGCTGTAGAGCTTGTGTGCTCACTGAAGACAGAGTCAGAGAGAGAGCAAAAATGAGAAATCATCCCCCAAGGGGGATAGCTCACTGCAATTCCTTCTCCTCTGTTCTCCTCTTGAGATTGCAGGCATGCACAGACATGCACCTGGAGTGTTTCCACCACCAGGTCTCTGACAAACTGCGTACTTGGCCACATACGATCCAGCTATCTTAGACCATGCCACATGCTGGCCTCCATTTGACTTTAATTCACACATTTCTTTTTTAAAAGAATTTTAAAAATTAAATTAAATGTATGTGTTTATTAATTATTATTACGATTTCATTTGATACAGGACATGTGCACTCACCAGACTAAGAAAGTGAGAAAGCAAGCCATCAGGTCCTAGACTCAAACCACAGTTGGCAGTGTGGGAGTCCAGTGCCTTACCAACCATGCTACCTGCTGGCCCCTATTCACCAGTTCTTAAATCCTATTTTTGTTAATGATTCTATAGGGTACTGTAACAATATTCTTATACCTATTTAAGGAAAAAGAAATAATAAATGATAAATCCAGTGTGCCATTGTCCAAAGTAGAAGCTTCATACACACACACACGTGTGCACTCACGCACGTACATACATGTGTATATTGTGAATTACAAATAATTTGGATTGATGAACACTTTTGCTTGTAGTACTCAGATCTAGCATGTCTTTTTTTGTCCCCCCTCTGTTCCCTTACCTGGCTTTTCCTGTTGTCCGTTGCCTGATGACGGTAAGTTTTCTCAACTGTTTAGATACTAAATAATTGGAAAATGATTTAGAAAACATGGGATTACAATTCTCAATCTTTGGTTTGATAAAAAGAAAGAGAAGGCCAAGCACACAGCCGTTTTTGCCGTGTGGAAAATGCTGAATCAGAAGACAGTGGTAAGACATGTTAAAAACAATCCCGGGATGTTTGGTTCAGCACAGCAGCTTTCACTTTGTATGTTTCATGAGATCATAACTTTTATGTTTCAGAGTAGCTTAGAGTGAACTTTTATTTAAAAAGATATGTCAGTTCCCAAATTTCATTATTTGTTTTCTAGTGCAAAGAAAGACTTATTTTATAGTACATACTTTTGGGATTTTTGTTCACTAGATCTTTATGGTTAGTTAAGGATAAAAGCATTTCTTATCACTTAAAATGCCACATGTAGTTAACAATTTTTTGGAATTGTTTTCCTTTGACATTGTGAAAGGAAATCCACATTTTTTTGGAATTGTACACCAAACTGTTATAAAAATGAGTGTTAGAAATCAATTCAAATGTTAAATACAAAGGACATCCTTGGCTCATTAAGTAAAAATATCTCATTTAATGAGCAGGAAAGCACTGGAGCACACTGAACCCTGACACAAAGCAAATTATTTAAGTGATAAATTATATTTTATGGGGAGTGTAAAAGTTAATAATACTCAGGGGCATGGTAATAAATGCAGAGGTGTAACTAACTTCATCGACTGCTTTACTTACAAACAGGCCATATGTACTTAGTTACTTGAGATGATTATAAAGACAGAACAGAAACCACACAAAGATTCATACAGCTCCGTTAGTCCAATTATTTTTCAGTGCACATTTTGTATTGTATTGTTTTAAGAGGGCCTCTTGTTTTTCTTTTCTGTCCTTTGCAACATTCTGCTCCCCTCATTTTTGTTTTCACTTTTGGTCAAGTATTTGACCTTGTAGCAGTTAAAGCTGTAGCCTGCTCCTTATCTCTTGGCAGGCCTCATAAAGTCAGCCATGCATTCACCCTCTCTGGTGCCCCACGAATGACCTCAAGCCTCACTTCAAGAGGACCAACATGTCGTATGAAGAAATGGGTGGGTAAGCTTTTGTATTGGCACCACCCAAGCCCCTGCCTGAGCAAACATTTCTTAGTAGTGTGGAATAGATCCATAAACAAACGTGGTCAATCACCTCCACTCACGCTTTGCTAAAATGCACAGAAATCTGTTCGCAAAGCTGTCTCTGCACAGCCAGAGAGCAGGGAAGGGTTGTGCAATTGTCTAGACGATTAGAGGCGCAGATCGAGAGTGAAGGTGAAGGAAAGCAACTGCTACATTTTTCCAATTTACCTAACACGTATGGCTTTTTTGTTGTTGATTGTTTTCTGCCTTGACTCTGTTGAAGTGAAATTTGTTTCTCTTTGTACTTTTTTGCTTGCCTGCAACCGGGTTTTGAATCCTGGACTAATCCTAATGCCATATAATTTTGCCTCTGTTGAGGTAGAGTCCAGTTGAAACTATAGTTTATTGATGCTACATAAGTGATTCGTTTTCTAGGTTTGGAAAAATAATGTCATTTTAGAATCTTTATTAAAAATTGATTTTAGTCTCTGGGACCATTTTTAGGCTGGTTGCAAAGTGGGAAGTAGGGAATTTCCAAGGAAATTATGATTTATAATAATGTTTCAGACCTCCAAATCTTTGCATATTCTATTTTCTCCTACTGGCTGCTTTTCCTTCTTGTTCATTCAGCAAGCTTCAATGGATTCTTCAAACCCAGCTCAGATATAGCCTCTTCCGACCATTCTCTTCTTCCTCTTCAGGTCAAATTAATTACTCTTCCTATGAAACTTCCTCTAACATCTATATTACTTCGTTCTTCTTGTATTATATTTTATTTATTTACATTTCCAGCTATGCTTTAAGATTCATAAGAATAAAGTCCCTGTCTTGCTCACCATTGTGTATTTAACACCTCTTACAACTGGCGGCCAGAGGGAACCAGCAGTTAGCGTAATGGCTATATGGCTGGACTCCCACGTAGTCGACCGCGGTTTGCGTCCCGGACCCGGTGGCTGGGCGCATGTGCGTACGTGCCCAAGATCCTGAGAGGAGAATGGAGGAGATTGCGGCGTGACCATCCCCCCTGGGGGGTGATTTCTCGCTTTCTGTCTCTATGTCTCTCTCTGTCTGTCTGGCGAGCGCACGCGCCCTATAGCAAAAAACCTCTCAAAAAAAAAAAAAAAAAAAAAAAAAAAACCAAAAAAAAAAACACCAAGTGGTGGCCAGAAATGATGAAGGAAGGATGGAAGCAAAGAAAGAAGAAAGAATGCAAATCCTTTCTTATCATATATAGAATCTCAGTATGAAGGGAACCCCTGGCAAAAGGTCCCTTCATTTGGACTGATAGAGCCTTGAACAGGTCCAAAGCCCTGGTAGTGAAGAACTGGTCGAATTTTAGTCCTTGCTCTTTCTGTCCTAAGGTTGGGGTTGGAGAGCAATGAAGAGGAGGAGGGGAAGTGATGGAAAGTTTGAGAAATGAGAGGTTAGGGGGTTGTTTTCTCTCCTGGACTGTGAACTCTCTGAGGACAAAGACTGTGTCTCTTGAAGTTTTGAGTTCCTAGAACCTGGCAGTGCCTAGCATATTTATTGTGTTGCATCATTGATATTCGAGTAATCCTGTCAGGTTGCTTTGTGTGCTGCAGGAAATCAGAAATGGATGGATCATGGAGAGAGAGGGGGCTGGAAAATGGAGGATGACTAAAATGACAATTAGAGGGGAGTTTGGGCACCTATGACTATTGGCCAAGACTGGAAGATTGCGCTGAGAGGCCTAACAGCACTGCAGCATGTGCCAAGAATTGCTGGGGTTTGGGGCTGGCAGGTGGCATGGTGTTTGGGATGCTGGACTCCCATATGGCTGACCATGGTTCAAGTCTTGGACCTGGCCTGCTTTCTCACTTTTTGCTCTTTCTGGTCAAATTAAAAAAAAAGTATATATGTATTATATATTACATATATATATATATATATAAATATATATATAAAATAATGTGTGTATATATAAAATAAATAATTCAGTTAAAAAAGAATTGCTGTGGATTTGTCAAAAAAGTTTATTAATCTTTTTGGATTGTTTTCTAGAGATAGATACTATATATATATATATTTTTTTTTTTTTTTAAGAGGCTTTTGCTATAGGGCGCGTGCGCTTGCCAGACAGACAGAGAGAGACAGACAGAAAGCGAGAAATCACCCCCCAGGGGGGATGGCCACGCAGCAATCTCTTCTCCTCTGTTTTCCTCTTGGGATCTTGGGCACGCATGCACATGCGCCCGGCGTGAGTTTAAACCACCGGGTCCGGGACGCGAACCATGGTTGACTATGTGGGAGTCCAGCGACATAGCCATTACACTAACTGCTGGTCCCAACTATATATTTTTTTAAATTAAAAAAAAGACCATTACTAACAAAGAGAACTAATTTGTGAAAAACATTTGCATGTAATAAAATACATGTAAGATATGAATTAGTTATCTTAAAATGATAAAAATCATTGATGACTGTTCATTCTTTGGATAGTTACTAACAAGAACTATATGAGAAATATTCAATATATTCATGGAAATGATGTATTATGAAAAAACTATATTCAAAACTATATTTCAAATTTTTTGCACCAAAATAAATTCATGTTTTAATTCAATTTTCCCACAAATTCTTTGGAGTCCCCATATATGTATATTCACCCACACACATGTGCAGTTTTGATTTGGCCTACATTATTTAATTTCTTATGGAGAAGTACCTCTCTCTCTCATTTCGTGGGAGCTAATCATATCTTTAAGCTACGAAGCCAGCCCATTTGGACCTAACCAGTATCAGTCTGGAGCTCTAGTATGTGAAGCGTTCTCTTCAGCTAGGGGTGCTTACTGAAGCCATTGGTGAGCATTTTTTCACTTCACATGGAGAATCTGCCTGAGAAATTTTCTACTGTAAAAGATAGAACCATGAATCATAGAGAGTGTCTAGGGCTATTGTTTGAGCATCAATCCCTACTAAAGCTAGAGCTAGAAACCAGAGTTATCTGAAACCAGCTTTACCATATTTGAATTAAGTTAGAGTTACTTCTTTCTTTTTTTTTTTTTTTTTTGCTATAGGGCACATGTGCTCGTCAGAGAGACAGAGAGATAGAAAACAAGAAATCACCCTCCAAAGGAGATGGCCATGCCACAATCCATTCTCTTCCATTCTCTTCGTGGGATCTTGGGTATGCATGTGTTTTAAGCTGCCAGGTCTGGGACTTGAACCATGGTCAACTATGTGGGAATCCAGCGATACACTCATTACGCCACCATCTGCTGGTCCCAGATTTAGTTTTCTTTGATTGGGAGACGAAAGCTAATTGTAATTTGATTAGGTAATTCATAGAGAGTATTTGATCTATCTTTACCACCTACCTTCTTTCTATAGTTATGTTAGACTCTTCCATAAAAATGAATTTAACAAAAAATATTTAGTTTTTATTAGTGATGATTTATCTGAAACAAGGTACTAAAAATTGGAGTTTTTTTTTTTTTTTTTTCTTAAAGAAAATAATTATTTGGGGACTAGCAGATGGCCTAATGGTTACATCGTTGAACTCCCATGTAGTTGACTGTGGTTTGAGTTCCGGACTTGGTGGCTTAAAATTCATGTCAGGTGCATGTGCGTGCGTGCCCAAGATCCCAAGAGGAGAATGGAGGAGAAGGGATTGCCACATGGCCTTCCCCCTGGAGAGTTGATTTCTTGCTTTCTGTCTGTCTCTCTCTCTCTCAGGCAAGTGCATGTGCCCTATAGCAAAAATCTCTCAAAAATTATTTATTTAATTTTATATATTATTATAATCATCATCTTTTTTCTTTCTTCTTTTTTTTTTTAAATTGCTCAGCAGAGAGAGAGAAAGTGAGAAAGCAAAGAAAGCAAATCACTAGATCTGAGCTTGAATCATGGTCGTCCAATGTGGGAGTCCAGCACTTCCACCACCATGCCACCTGCTGGCCCAAGTTTTTTTTTTTTTTTTCCAAACTATACTCATGTGCTTACCAGACTTCCTCCAGAAAGCTTCTTAGAGAAGGGGCCGTGGCTCACTCATTTTAATGCCCCTAGCTCTGGGTACAGCACCTGCCACATCACAGGTACAACTGAACATGTGTTGATATAATGGTCTTTCCTACTTTGTGGGAGACAAGCCTGTCTGTCCTCCTTCCTCCCTCCCTCCCTCACTCTCTCCCTCCCTCCCTCTCTCCTTCCTTCCTTCCTTCTTTCCTTCTTCCTCCCTTTCTCTCTTCCTCTTTTACTCCTCTTTTTCCTTTCCTTTTTGAGAAAAAAATTAAGTACTAAAAAGTACAAGGATTTAAATAAGAATCATCTATGTTTCCACTTCACATTTACAACAATATTTTGTTCTTTTTTCCCCAGATTTTTTGTTTTTAATCTTCCCCTTTTTACCTCCTCCAACTTTTTCTCCCATTCCTTTTTCTGGGCAATCACTATAATGACTTAGGCGTGTACCCTTCTTGCTTATTTTCTATAACTTTACACAGCAATAATATCTATTAAGGATATATACATATATATAATTCCTTTGTTTCCTTTGTGTGTACATATTAATAAACTATGTTAATTGTACATTGCTGTGTGTGTTGTCCAACACGTATTATGTTTTTGTGATCTATCATTTTGATGTTTTAACAGTATAATATTTCACGGAATTAATTTAATACATTTCATTTTTCTTCCTCCCTCCTCCCCCTCTCTCTCTTTCTTTGTTTTAGAGGTAGGGATCATATGCTCACCGGACAGAGACAACCATATGCTCACCAGAGAGACAGAGACAACCATATGCTTACCAGAGAGACAGAGACAGTGAGAGGGAAAGCGAGAAATCATCCCCCAGGTGGGGATGGCCATGGCACAGTCCCTTCTTCTCTATTCTTCTCCTGGGATCCTGGGCACCCATACACACATGGGTGTGATTTTCAAGCCACTGGGTCTGAGACTCAAACATTGGCTGACTATGTGGGAGTCCGG